ACCTGAATGTCTGAGGACTTCAAAATGTCAGCTCTATGTGTTGTTAAGTGGTTCAAAAGTTCAGTGTTAAAATGACAGTTCAATCAAGGACATGAAAATTCTTCCTGAGGCAAAATTCAGTGAAATCCTTTATATCTATCTCCTTCCTTTATTCACAAAACAAAGCTCTTACCTTGGGGAAGGTGGAGATAGTTTGACATGCTTACTTGGAAATTCAATTCTGCAATTTTCTAACCAAATCCCACTTGGCTAATTTATATGCTGATCTAGTGCTCAGTATTTAGGGACATCATGAGAAGTCTTTCTAAACCTGCTAGCTTTTGGGGGTGTAGTTGCATGTGGTCTCTTGATAGCATTATTGCCACTGCAATTCAGACAATTAACCAGGCAAAGCTTCTAATGAAACAATCAGCCCAGGGGCTGATAGGAGCTGACAGCAAGCTCTCAAGGCCCAGGCTTAAAGATGCTCTGTTCACGTCTCCAGGGGAGGGATTAATAGTACCGATTAACCATCTTATCCCTCCAGGCCAAAGGGAGGTGTCTGGTACTATAAATTTGCCTCAAATGATTAGCACAACATTATTTTTAAATGCTCCTCTTTTTCTCTTTTATGCAAGGGGGATTTGAGGCAGTTTTTAAAGTTTACCAAATGTTCTTCAAACAAACTCTGGATCCCCTGGATATTACGCAACAATAAGAAGTCAGGAACTATTGATTAACATAACGACAGGGATCGACCTCCAATGCATTATGCTAAACCGAAGAAGCCAAATCCAAAAGGCAACATACTGTATGAGTTCATCTATGACATTCTAGAAAAGCCAAAACTGTACAGACAGAAAACAGATGAGTGACTGCAAAGTTAACTATATAGGAATGCAAGGGAATTCTGGCGAGTGATGGAACCGTTCTAGATTTTGATTTGTTTAAAGTGATACAAGTATAATGATGAATTTATTTATAAATTAATAAACTTGACTTTTAAGAAAAATTTAAGTTTTGTTCCTCAGTCACATCTGCCAGAAAGGTGGGTCTACATGGCTAGATGTGAGCTCTATCATTCAGGATTGTCTCCGTGCGCCTCCCCGCACCTGGGCTCACCCCACCACCTTCCTATTCCAACAGCCCGACCAGTCATGGCCCAGTGCAGAGAACAGAAACTACCCCATGTATTTCAATCAGAAAGGGATTTGGTGTTGGAATTAGGTGCTTACAGAATCATTAAAAGACTTGGAGGAGCAGAAGTCCCCCTTAGACTTTTTAATTCGAGGACACAGCACCATAGGCACCATGATCCAAATGTCGGGAAGCTGCTGCCACCACGACAGCTCATCACACCGAGGCATGTGGGGCGAAGGCCCTGGAACAATGAGTCTGGCCCCGTGACTGCCTCTGAACACTCACATCTCCATGACCTTGCTGCCAGCAGCACCAGCAGAAGGAACTTGTCTCCATCTCAGGCTTCCAAATCTCACACAAATGCATTTATAAAGCTGTCATGCATTTAAAAACTTAGCCGTAAGAAACTCTGGGACAAAGGTTTCCACTGTGAATGAAGATCCCAATATTAGAAGAGTCGGTCCCAGTAAGTCCCCGATCACCATTTATCCTGTCCTAAAACAAGGCATTCTTTAATGAAGAAAGCACAACAAAAAACCTTTTTCTCTCTAAATCTCAAATGGTGGTAAGAGTAAAAAAAATTGTCCTACTAATGGGTAAAACCAAGATCTTAATTCATTTCATTATGGAATAATATTTTGTTTTCACAGTTAGTTCTAGCCCCAGAATAAAAATTTAAGATCATTGCATTTGATCACTCTTTGAACTTGTATATTAAATACACGCTGGTCTTCGAGTTTTATTCTGATGAGAATTAAACAGACTAATCTTGAAAATGCATTAATTTTCCAGACACCTGTAAGTTATTTTATGGTAAGCCAGAACCAAAGGAGGGGAGTGTGACACTGTGATTTATAGTAAGAAATATATTTGGTTTTTGTCTCCATTCCTGGCAGAGAGCTCCTAAAACCCAAGAATTTCCTAAAAGATGAGAGAGAGAAAGATGTCTTTTGTTGTTATTAAGGTAACTTTTAGAAAGCCCCTAGGTAACCCAAGGATGGAGAATGGATGCCAACGGAGCCAGATTAGAGGGTTGGAACTTTCAGTCTCCTCTCCCACCCTCAACCTCCAGGGAGGGGAGAGAGAGGGGCTGAAGACTGGTAGCCAATGATTTAATCAATCATTCCCATATAAGGAAGCCTCCATAAAAACCCAAAGGAGCAGGGTTCAGAGAGCTTCTGGGCTGGTAAACAGGGGGAGGGGCGGAGAGAGTGGCACGTCTGGAGACAGCATGGAAGCTCCAGACCCTTCTCCCATACCTTGCCCTGTGCATATCTTCTGTCTTTTCCTGAATTATATCCTTTTATAATAAACTGGTAAATGTTTCTCTGAGTTCTGTGAGCCAATCTAGCAAATTAATCAAATCTGAAGAGAAGGACATGGGAACCTCCAATCTATAGTTAGTTGATCAGAAGCACAGGTGACAACCTGAACTTGCAAATGACATCTGATGTGTGTTGGGGTAGGCATTTTGTAGGACTGAGCCCTTAACCAGTGGGATATGGTCCTACCTACAGGTAGACAGTGTCAGACCAGGACACCCAGTTTGTGTCTGATGAGAACTAGACTGAGTTCACTGTTTGGTGATGTTATAGAGGTAAGTACCTTTTATGTCTATTAATCCTAAAGACCTAACGCAATCGAAACAATAATCCAAAAGAAAAGTTTAGCTAAATTACAACGATTACTACAATTCTTAGTTTCCCAATGATCATTCATATAGTAACTATATTCTCTATATTGAAAGGGCTAAGGAACCTTCTCACAAGGAAGTTTCAGCCTTTAGGAATTTCACCTCCTTCCTTCTTGGGTTATTTCTCCAAGTTTTACAAAAAGGAGGCAATGGAAACATTTTTCTTTTTCTGACAGGAAAACTATTGGGTGGATATTGCTCGCTTCTTTAACTCCTAAAAAAAAAATGCGACAGAGTACAATGGCCTAAAATAAAAATAAGGTCCAATCAACAGTAGCTGTTTGGGTTTCAAGAATCATCTCCCAGAGTTGTCACTGGAAAAAATGAGGTGAGTCTGCAAAAGAACTGATTTTCCCTCCTTGGAAAACCATCAAAACACCATCACACCCCTGTCATACCCCAGTAAGTCTCTTACAAACAATTTCTAATGTTGCTTTCACAAAAAGAGTAAGCGCAAAAATGACAACGAGAAACTGAGGATTATTCCTAACTTAAGGGATAAAAGGTTCTCCCTAGTTTCCCTTCAGGGTATTTTTTTTAAAGTCCAGGTTGGGAGTTAGTTATTTCTTATGGACAATTATATACTGTCTTCTGCCAATGTTACTGACCGGTAAAGCAAAATGGGCAATGATTCTTTGTAAAAAGAACAGAACTGGCCTCTCAAATTTCAGACTTAGAGGAAGCATCTATCAGGGAAAGGCAGAACAAACATTAAGGAGGATTCACAGAAAAAGGAAGACCACCAGCCCTAATAAGTAAGCTTATCAGATTATAGCCTCCGTTAGGTTTTGCCCAAGAATGCGGCTGAGAGTGAGGCTCTAAAAAAGCATTACGAAAATCTAGTAACTTCTCTACTCTTTTCATTTCTCCCTAGAGTAAGACTTTATATTTATTATGGTATGAACCCACAAAGGTTCTTTTCCAAGGAAATGAAGGGGATTGTATTTTTCAACTCTTTAGCAGCTAAGCTCTCCAGCCTCAAATCCCACCCCACCCAAAAATCTCAGAAGGGCATTACGACAACCGGGCTCCCACCAATTACAACAGCTGCCAACTTACGTTCAAGTTCACCTACAAACCAGCTGCAAGTGTTTTCAAGCAGAAACTCACTGTACAGGTAGAAACAAATGAGTTTCAAAATCTCACATCCCCTATTCATTTCTTACCCTGCAAGAGTACCATAATGATAGTGAGGAATATTTGCAGGTAGGTTGATCCTGCCTCTTTAAGAGCTACCCAGTCCCTGTCAGAGAATATAATCATGTGAAGCTTGGAAAAATCCTTCAGGTGGTAACCAAGATCATTTGATTGAAGAAGCTGCCTTGGGAATTTCAACCCTACAAAACAGATTTTGTGAGTGTTCTACAACTGTCTAGCTAAAGTGATTTCAATAAAATTAAGAATAACATCTAACAGACAGTGAAAGTAGGCATCGGCCCAGTTCAAGAGATCAGGTCAATGGGACGTGAGAATCGAAAGAAAAATTAAAAACCAAAACTTCACTCCTGATGCAAAGTGAAAGTGACAAAAGGAAGTGCTGCACTGGCTTCCTTCCAGCTGCCACCGAGCGGCACTGTCAGTCAGGAGAGTCTTGTGGGCAGACGACCTAGTCCAGGAAGCCTGTCAGAGCCTGGCTGGTCGTTGACCTCTGCAGGGGTTGCTCCTCCCTAACCAGGCGGGGCAGGTGTCCCCTGTGGCGTGGACCTGGACTGCAGTACAACGCCTAGAAGGAGTCTCAGCCACTGCCCCACGGACCCTGGCCCGGGTCTGTAGCATGCAGGGGTCGAGCATGTGAGGCAGGAGCTTATGTTAGCACGAACCACACGAAAAGCCATTATTCAGGGGAGTGACATAATATATTGTAACTGCTCCCATCACGTCAATAGGCATAGTTTTAATGGGTATGTTAGAATTTCTCCCACTTGAAGTTAAAACGACTCCAATTTCCATGAAAACAGGAGATTCCTCATTGGTAAAATCACAATTCACCCACGGCAGCTGCCAGACACAAGAACAGACATGCCAGGCGTGCACAGGGCTGATTTTTGTCTCTCCAGGCAATGCTTCCATTTTATAATTTGTCTCCTCTTAAAACAAAGAGATGAGCAAGTTACAAATATAATTACTATATTTCTGAACAAGCAATAACACAAGCCATGAAAGTGCTAAGAGAGGACCACTAGCTTACCTCTGGCTCTGGCTGTAAGGTTTGGTCATCCTCAGCAGAGTTTGGTAAAATGGCCCAGGTTATGTTGGCACTGGCTGATGGCAAAGAGCCAAACGTCCCATTTTTCAGCTGCTCTGTGGAGTGTGACTTGGGCCCATGCCATCCCAGGATGTTTTCTGAAATAAAGACTTAGGTTGATGCCAAGTATTTTCCAAATGAAACATTTATAGCTCAAAAAATATCTGTACCTCACTGTTTAAGGAGACTGACTTGAAACGGGCCCAGTTTTGAGTGGACCACGGTAGATTTAAGTGGGGCTTGTTCTGAATGACGTGCCAAGTGTAGAATCAGATCATCTATTTATAAACTAGTTTCTGTATAACGGCAGTCTCAGAATCCCCACAGGCTGTTTTTCTCCCCATCCTTGGACATACAATTCACATTTTACCAAAGACAAATTTTCTTAAAGGTGTTTTCCTTATTTTTTAACTCCTTAAAACATTTTTAAAAACATTTACAATAAAAAAAAAAAAGTCAAATTTTATTGAAAATGGTCTGCTCGAAATGTGGTCTGATACCACTTCAATATTGTAAAACCATTTACAATAAAAAAACATTTACAATAAAAAAAAGTCAAATTTAATCAAAAATGGTCTGCTCGAAATGTGGTCTGATACCACTTGATATGATAGCCACGGTTCAGAAAAGATGGCTGCAGTGTGACCATGTGACGTCACCTCTGCTGTTAGACATGGCCGATGTGGCCGAAGACAGGAAGCCCTATCACTGAAGAACAGATGCGGTCATTCCATTCTAGCACGAAACTTCTGTATCAACACCAATCTGGTAAACCAAAAGCATTGTTCTAATCCTTCCCCAACCTTTAGGGAAAAAAAGACTAACTCTAATATAGTTTTTTAAAGAGTGATGGATTATCATAGAATATTTGTATTTGCTTACTATTGGGGACAGGAGTAATCAGGTGGATTTCTTTACCCCTTTAATAGCAGTTCTGCCGTTGGAATTAGAATAAGTCCAAAACTCAGCTGAAGAGTAGGGATAAGTGATTAAGAAAAGGTAGGCTGACGTGGAGACTGCCTCATGTGAACTAGAACTCAACCTTCCAACATCTCAGATGTTCCATCCATAAAGTAATCATATCTATCAGTTTTTTCACCAGAGTTACTCAGAGAAAAATCCACAAGTATCTCAAACTTTTAACACCCACAGGGAATCTCATCCATGGAAATAAAACAACAGAGGCAGATGAAAAGGCCGTACATGTGCTTATGCATGTGTGTCAGTGTGTGCAATATTATCCAACCCCAGCATATTTGTATGTGGAAATCTTTTTTTTTCTTTAATGTGAAGTACTAGATCATATAGCTCTGCTCCTAAAAGCCTCAAGTGGCTTCTCGTTGCAACTGAAACATAATCTAAACCGCCTGGTTTGCAAGACTGCCCAGCCTCATTTCATTCTCTCTTCATTGCTCACCATGCTGATATTTTTTCCATTCTTCAAGTGTGCCAAGTTCATTCCAGTCAAGAGCCTTTGTGCCTGCTGTTTCTTCTGCTCAGAGTGCCATCCCTCCGGTTCTTCTATATGGAGGAGAGGTCTCCTATGTAAATCCAGGGGTCAGCTAAATGTCACTGGGTCACGGAAGGCCCCTGATATCTCCCTGGCCAAAGTAGCATCCCAAAGGCACTCCTTGTTACGTCAATCAGTTTACTGTCTTCATAGCACTTAGGACTATCTGGAATCACCCTGCTCATTTGTCTATTGTCTTTCTCTCTTCCCTAAAATGTCAGATTCTTGAAGGCAGGGACAATATTGCCCTTGCTCATGGCTGTGTCACTAGAACCTAGAACATGGTCTAGCAAAGGGTGTGTGACCAATAAATATATGCAGAGTGAATGAATAACTTCGGATTGTCAGAGATAGTAAATTTCAAGAAAAATACATTTCATAACATCCTAAAAGTTAAAAAGGAAAAAATGGAAAAAAGAAAGTAGAATAGTGGTTACAAGCGTCTGGGACCGGGGCTGGAGCGGGGGGGCGGTGAGATGGGGAGTCATTGTCTGATGGGTAGAGTTTCAGTTTTGCAAGACGAAAGAAGTGCTGGAGATTGGTAACACAATGTGAATGTACTTAACACTACTGAGCTGTGTACTTAAAAATGGTTGATGATGAAATTTTTGATATGTGTATTTTACCATGATTATTTTTAATAGCAAAAAGACATCCATATATCAGTCCTTGATGTCATTTACAAAAGATGAAAGGCTGCAGGATGAACTAAGACCAGACTTGGGAGGAATCCCCACAAATAATAAGGCAGGTGGGGCTGGACTAAGAAAGCCAATCCAGGGTTCAAGACACCAGAATCTGCCATAAGAAAGGGGGAACGACACTTCTTACCCATCCTGCTGACCAACTCTTGCCCAGAGACCTGAAGTTGGATTCAGATCTTAAATACTGGGCAGCTGTCTCATACATATAGGGGTATGACTTTCTTGTTTTATTATACAAGTAGTAACTGTCCTCTAAATTAATTAGGAAAGTTTAAAAAGCACTAGGGGAAATATGAGATTTGCTCGCCGTGCCAATCAGGACAATGTTCCCTCCATTATTCCGACACTTCGATTCTGTCCCTCTCTTCCCTCCATTCCACCATCACTCAGAGATGATAACCGAGAAAACAAGGGGGCAGGAAGTAGAGTCTGGCCAGGCAGTGATACACTGCATCCTGTGATAGACAAAGACCAGGACAGGATGACTGAAAGTAGCAATGCATAATGGGGAATGTAGTTTTCTACATATTTTATGGATTTAGAGTATCAAAGAACCAATGAGTGAGGACCAAAGAGAAGTCCATCTCAGACCAGTCCAGCTGCTCTAATAAATAAGCACTGGTCTGGAAATCTGGATAGACATGTCTTGTTTGAGGATGAAGGAGGAAAATTTCAATAGAGAGTGAATGAAAAGGATTATATGGAGCATAGTTATCCTCAGAAGGCTTAGAAGAATATATCTCTGATATTTCTCATGTAAGGTGTCAGAGAAAACATCAGGAAAGGTGTATCCACAGCACAATACAGGATAAAGCAGCCTCTATGAAATAAGAACAGAAAGCTAAAAGAAGAAAATAGGCTGAGGTGAAAAAGAAGATTGATGCATTATGGAATTATTATGAGGAAATTAAATCAGCATTAGAATTAAAATGAACACTGAAATCAAGAAAAAATAGAAATAACACTGTATAAAAGTCAAATAAGGAACATGTCAACATAAGGAAATTCTACCAGTGTGCAGTTGTAAAAGGCACAAAGACAAAAACGAGACAGAATATAAGAGATGATGTGCAACAGAAATCCTAAAGATGCTGAAGGACAGAAATCAGATCATGGAAAAGAAACACTAAGCAATGATACAGAAGTAAAGATACACAGCCTGAGCTGCATGGAGAGCTGTGGGTACTGCTGAAAAGTCTACCGCATTCCAGTAAAATCAATGGGAAAGACTCCCATTTAGACATAGCTCAGCAATACTCTCTTAGGCTTTTTAAGACTGAAATTTCAAACATACACACAAGTAGGCAGACAGAATAGTACAGTGAATGCCTAGCTCATGAAGTTTGGCAACATTCTGGAGTAACAAAAATCGAGAGAAAAATTTTCCATTCACTTAGGCAGAAAAATTAGACTTGCCCTAAAGGAAAAAAAATCAAATTTGTTTTGAATTTTGCTATAACGCTAAATGCTAGAAGGTGAATAGATGAAGAGAAGAATGCAAATAAAAGTCTACATATTGTGGTAGAATGGGTGAGGGGCTGGGGAACAATGCTCTTTCTCAGCCAAATTATCTTTCCTCTGCTTAAAAAAGAGTCAACATTTATTGAGCTCTTACTAGGTGCCAAGCACTATTGTACCCAATTTACGTGTGTTAACTCATCTAATCCTAATCACGAACCATGAGGTAGGTGTTACGATTATGCCCACTTGACAGATAAACAGAGGCACGCAGACCTACTAAGTAGTAAGATCAAAATTAAAACCCAGTCAGCCTGGCCCCAGAGCCCACACTCAGACTTACACTGTATGTCTTCTCATCAGCACTGCAGAGACTAGGAAAACCTTCTGGGAGAAGAAAACTACTTGAAGACATATAGCAACATACAAAGAAATGAAGATCTAACAGCTCAAGACTGGAGAAGTCACGTATGAAAGGACCAGTGGTGAGCAATGAACCCAGTTAAACACAGAGCTGAGCAAGGCTGTGAGACTAGGCTGAGGTTTAAAAAAAAAGGCACTCGCCTCGGGTGTAAAATTTAAAGAGGCACCAAGACACTCGTAATCAAAATAAATAATATTTTCACACAATATTTTAAAATTTTAAATTAATGTCCCCCCTCCCAAAAAAAAAGTCTTACAGGACTTGGTCTCACTTACCTCATCCTGCCAAATCCTGTCTTTATTTAAAATGTAGCTATTTTGTTCATTCTGGATTTTTTGTTATTAATTTTGGTTTAAAAATATCACATTAAAGCATCATTTATCCTCATTACTTCGGCATCCCTAGGCTCATGGCGAGTGCTTTACTCACCTCACTTAGTCCGTGCCCTGGAACAAAATTTAAGTAATTTTTCTAAACATGGCTACATAATTGAACATTAAGTTAAAAATTATTTTAAAAGGATTTAATCATTAGCACACGTTATTAAGTATTAAATTAATATTAAAATATTAATAACAATAGTCTCCACATTATATTACCAAAAATCAGTTAAGCATAGCAGAGAAACAAAAGAAATTAAAGTATGCTGAATCATCATCACTAAAGGAGAGAGTCAAAAAGTAGTGTGTCATTCTTGACTTTGACGATTACAAAAATATAGGTGAAAGAATGCTTGTGAAAAATGTAATGGAACCACTATTAGAATTTACATATTTTTTCCCCAAAACACTATAGAAGAGTAAAGGAAATACAACTTGTGTAGCAAAATAGAAAACAAAAAAAGCATCATGGAAACGTAAAAACAAAAAGCATAAAAAAGACCAATAAAAACAAACGAACACCAGTTTAAAGAAAAAATAAATGGACTATGTTACTCTACTGAAAGAGAGTTTCAAGATTGTGTTATAAAACAAAATGCAAGTCTAAACCATATTTCAGTAATTCTAAGACATACCTCATTTTCACATTTTAACATCTCTGAAGTTGGAGTTTATCTTACAGTTAATGGTGTGTCACAATTTAATTGGCAGCCTTTTCTTTCCAGTGGCACAAAGGATAATGATGTGTTTTACTACTGATGGTGTCTGACAGTTGAGAAAATATGCCTCACGTATAGAACGTGATTCAGAAAGGTCTAAAGTAGAAAGATGGTCAAAAACATGCCAGGGAGGTACAAATGAAAAGGACACTGGGATCAAAACATTACCATGTGGCTGCTGACTGACTGTAAAATCAAGTAGCCAGATATCAATCACCTTTTACTCTCTGGTCCACCGTCATGCTCATGAGCAGGGAGCTCATCAAAGATGACACAACAGAAGAGAACAGGAAGGTAAAGAATCGGGAGGGCCCCGAATGGCAAATCTGGTCCTTTAAACAGGCTTTTACACACACCTGTAGCTGCACACAACACACCTTAGCAGGTATGAGAACACAGGGAAGAGGAAAGCAACTATAGTTTTGGTTCCCTGAACCAACCAGAACTAGAAAAAAAGCTACAGAAGATGTAACTGTAGGGTTAAAGGTTTGACTGTGGAGCTGTGTCACCCAGTTCTTGGCCTCAGTGTAAGCCTTGCTCTGAGTACTGAGAGATATAGTCCCCAGGCCAGGGCTATGAGGCCTCTGCCCAAAGCCAGTGACAGGTGATGGCAGCTAGCAGGATCCTTCCCTCTTCCTGTAACATGGTGACCTCATGCCTCCTAGATTTGGTAAACCTAAGAGGGCTTTCCAAAATGGAGTAAGATTGACACACTCAAGAAAAATATAAGGCACATTTATGATGGAAAGTTAAGATGTCAGTATCCAACACAGCACTCCAAAACTCTGTTTAGACAGAAAAAAAAAGAGAGAAATACAATCCACCCATCTAAAATATTCTACACTAGTTTTTGTTTTTGTTTTTGTCTTTTTTCTTTCTCCAACATGCTATACACTGAAGGAATCATCACATTTCTATCTTGGCTTTTAATCAAAAAATAAGGGAAGGTGCCTTATGTGGGGCACATTTTTACCAGAAACAGTGGGTGTCAGGGAAAAGAATGCAAGAGAGTGAGGAAGCAAAGGGAGTCTCTGATTGGTGGAAAAAAGGTGAACGCTGGGAGTCTGAAGATGTCTCTGGAAAAAAGTGAAGCGCAGCAAAAGGAGGAAGGCAACGAGGCCAGAAAAGCCAAGAGAGTCCTCAGAATAGTCTCACCTATTTGATCGTTTTTGCCAAACCCCCAAATGGGAGGAGGACCAATACGACCAGCTTATTAATTGACAATCCCACAAATCTTACAAGAGAATGAGAAAGTTACTGCAAGGATGAGTTAAGAAAAGCACATTAAATTCTGCTCTGGTGCTCCTCCCTTCAATTACACATCTCTTGATCTCTTATCCTGATTATGTCTCACAGCACATGTGTCATCCACAGTGATGATTCCCCAACGCTCTCCTGTCACTTGCTCCAGCAGCGCTGACCCCAGTGTTCTTGCCCAACATGGCTTGCACTGATTGTTCTGTTAGCACCCAGCTCTCATCTGGCACTAGAATATGCTTGTCCAGTTACAGGTGTTTGCTCTGACTTTGAACGATGTTCCCTAGATCAAGGCCCTCAAGCAAGGAACTAACCAAAAGCACAGACAACAGACTCTGCACCCCAAACCACTTTCACGGTTGTTTTTCTCCTACCTAAAGCCCAGACTCTCAAGTAGCCCATCCCTTTCCGGTTCTGAGGTAGTCCTGCCTGCCTTTCCGCATGGAATCTAGGCTGGGGAAAACAGACATCGGCCTACTTCCGCCTTCATCAATCATTTGCCTCCACCAAGCTGCTGAAGTAGATTTAGTAGTCACTAGGAACAGAAGAGAACTGCATAAAATAAGCTTTCACCAAAAAAGCCAACTTACTTTATTAATTTTAATTACAAAACTCTCCACTAACAGAAGTTCAATGAAGCATTTCAGCCCACTATATAATACCTTAGAGATAAACATCGGAGACAAGACTAGGAGCCCAAAATGCATGGGCGGGGTGGAGGTAGAGAAATATGAATACAAAAGTATTTTTAGATTTCAGTCCAGTTGCTCAGCGCATTTGAAATGAAATGAGCATTAGAGAGAGAGCAACACCTGCAGACAAAGGCGCCAAAGACAACACATTTCCTAGAAGATACAATGAAATGCTACAAGAGATGAAAAGCTACAAGACCACAAATTAATTTTTGATTAAGAAAAGGGGCAGAATTTAAGAAAAAAACATTGCAGGGGTCAGAAGGCAAAGAGGCTTGAAGCAAGAACAGTGTGTCTGGATATTCAGTGTGTGGTGGGGCATCTGCGCCTCCCTGCCCACTGCACACTTCCAGGAAACCCTGGCAGAGTTTCGCTTTAATGAGATTGTGATTTCCATCAGCCCAGCCTGACCGGCCTTAGATGTAACCGGTATGGTTTTATCAGTGGGAGTCAGGCTGCTATAGCTACTATCAACCTCAGGAGCCCTGAGGTTCGAAACAGGTGTATTTTGTGGTAACACCTCTGCGGTTATCACATTCTCTTATTCCACTAGCTCAAGATTCTGGAATTGGGTTTTAACTGCAGGCAATGATGACGGCTTGGGTGCAGGAATTCAATTTTTTCTCCCAATGTGTGGTAGATTTAAAAGACCCATGCGGAATGTTTTAAAACTTGAGGGACTGTGTTATATGGAATAGAAGTTTTAAAAGGGTTAAGAAGGCAACAAAGTACCCGCTGTGATGATTCGTGCTCTCTCTATTCTTCAACCTTCAGTCAAGCTCCTTGATAAAAATGGTTAAAAGGAAGGAGGGTGGACAAACAGGGCATGGAAGAGATGCAGGAGGTAACCCCACACGTGGCATAACCTCAGGGACACTGCTTGGTCTCGTCTCTCAAAGAGTTCCCATTTCAACCTGGCACCACATCTGAAATTCCACCTTGAGCTCTGTCCCTCCAAACACCGGAGGCCCTTACGAACACCAGAGCCCTAATGAAAATCAGGACAGGGGAAACAGAAATTTGCTAGAAACGAGCCCTGAAGAAAGATGTACGGGATTCATTTTAGGATGAAGAAAATGGTACAAGCTTACAGTTAACCAGCGAAAGGATCTTGAAATGGGCCCTTTAGGGTATAGAGGCGAGAAAATATAATATAGTATGCAAAAGATCGTAGAAACCTTGAAAAGCCTCCAGTCTAACTCTGATTTTGTGCACAAGCACCAGTGGGGTCACTCAGGCTCCCTCCACAGCATGTCAAGGAGTCTCACAGGGGCTTCAGCATCGGCGTTTCATTTTTCAAGTTGAAAAGGAAGAGGAAAGGTAGAACAGGTGTGGGTCCTTCACTCTACGCCTGAATGCACACACATCTGCTCCAGGACTGGATCCTCCACCAGAATTTTTTTCTCTTTCATTAGGGACATTAATGGAGTAATCGGCAAAATTCAGTAGGGTCTGTAGATTTGGGAACAGGATAGTACTCATGTGAATTTACTGATTTGAACCATTGTGCTGTCATTATGTAGGAGGGACACCCAAACCGCCCCATACACAGCCTACTCTGGAAAACCAACATCCTTTTTAATCTTAGTAAAACAGAGGGCAAAAAAAAAATACAAAAACAAAAACAAAAAAAAACTTGAGGAAAGAATGAAATACAGACTCTCATCATAACTTAGCTTTACTTTTCATCATCTAAATTGCCTCGTTCCCTCATTAATTAATTGAATCCTGAGCAACAAAGCTCAATAAGTCTTCTGTTAGTCTCTTAATTCTAATACTTGATAATTATATAAGACATGACCAATCTCAAGCTAGTTTCACTTTTATCATTGAATTTAATCTTCACTAATATCTTTATATTTGCTTATTGATTAAACCCTCTTCCAAAAAAACTGAGGCATCTGAAGGGGGTATATTATTATCCCTAGCTTCTTGATAAATAACGAAAAATGTTTCTGGTATGCCTTCTAGAGGAATTCTCACACAGGTCCACGAGGGGACATGCACAAGGATGCTCACTGCAGCAAGGTGGGCGGGGCAGAGAGCAGGAGGCCATGTGCATGTCCATCATCAGAGGGTGTCAGATAAAATGTGGTGGACACTCACCACAGGCAAAGTTAGAAATAATGGACCAGATGCTACACAGTGATGGATCTTAAAAACACAACAGAGTGCAAAGTCACAAATGGAATAAGATACAGGATGTGATGCCAGCAAGTCTAAAAGGAGCTCCATGGCATTCACATAAACATGTTGGTTAAATGTTTCATAGGATATTACACTCCTAATTGGCAAAAGAAAATAGGAAGGAGAAAGGGATAAATGAAGAAACACTTGGATAAAAAGGATAGATGGATGGTGGATAAATGGATGGATTTAAAGAAGGATAGCAATGGGAGACACAAACACACACACCCTGGAGAGTACTTATTTGTAAAGACAGAACTGCCCACTGGGAGGTCTTACCTGAGGCCCCTGGCTTGTGGCTGGGCTGGCCCACCTGGTGCACACTCTGCTGTAACAAGCTGAGGCACTCCCCGAGGCAGCTGAGGGTAGCAGCAGAGGTAGCTTTCAGGAGCAGCAGATCCTGGTCCAAGGCAGTGAGGGGGCCAGAACCTGGCAGAGACTCAATGGCGTGCACAAGGTTCTTCTGCTGTCCTTCCACCTGGTTCATCATCTACAAAATGGGAAGAGAGCAAGGAGGTGAGGGTCAGAAGTTTTCCTTTTAACAAGTGTGGGAGCCAGCACTTAAACCATGAGACTGGAGAAAAGTTAGAGCAAAGTGGTGAGAGAAACCATCATCACCCAGACTACAGGTGACGTGAGAGTCGGCTCAGAGGGTGCCAAGTACAAGTTAGTCCTTTGACGATCCAGGCCTAGATGAAAGCTGTCCAGCTAAACCTATCCAAAGGCACACATCTGCAGCTCTGATCACAGAAGAGTTTTAGAACTTTAGAGCTACAAGTGACCATTAGGGCCATCTTGGTGTATCATTTTATAGCTCTTCTGAAGATAAGTCAATAATAAATACATTAAAGGTAGAAGTCCTTATGACCATCTTTAAGGTCCTTTTAGTATGAAATGTTATCTGAGAGACTGGATGAACCCTGGCTTAGCCTCAGAGCAAGGTTAATTCCTTGCTTCTCCTCCAGCTCCAATTCCTAACTCCTTGGAAGTCTTTTTGAAGTTCAAGAAATAGAAGTGAAATCTAGAGCTGGTGATTTGTAGGAGTGAGATCAGAATGAAGCCAGCACTGAATTATTCCACCCCCCCAAGATGCTAAATAGGATGTGACTTTCTTAACACCATGTAAGATGCCAGGAGGAAGGAAAACCCAGGAATTCTAAAGCCAGCCCTATTCCACAGCTGAAGCTATGACAACCCAAAATAGCTTGTTTTGTGGCCTGGCTTCAATTCATAAGCAGTAGTCTGTTTCTTTGAATTGACAAATCAAGGAGAACGGAACTCAAGAACTAGAAAAAGACTTTACTGGTTATCTTGTGGAGTTCATCTCTTCATCCTCTCATTTTTTACAATTTATCTCACTGAACAAGATGATGTAGATAAAGTGCACCGCTAGCAAACAAACAGTCATTCTGGAAAATGGAGGAGGTGAAGCGACTCCACGAGGTCCCAAGGCAGGTCAGCATCAGGGGCAGGAACCAACTCCTGGTCTCTAGACTCCAATCCACTGTTCTTTAAGCTTCTGCAGCAAAGCTGTCCTTAATTTGAAGCAATATCTCCTGCTTTGTCATTATCAACCCCACAGGGTCCTTGTTATCATCATGATGTCACCAGCTGAGGAGACGCAATAATTCTTTAAGGACCACTGGACTTGGACACAAAACTCATTCCTTGCTCAGCCTTATATTTCTATTTCCTTTTGAGAACAAATACCTGCTATTTTCTAGCATCCTGTGTAATCATCTGCTAAAAAAGAAACACACACACACACACACACACACAAACCCATCTCACCCATTGCAATCCTGCTTACCAAAATAGGCGACATTACTTCAAAAAGATTTTAAGTCAATGTCAGACATACTGCACAGACGTGGTGGTCTGTCGCATTCTCACCTTAATGTGCACCCCCACCCTTTGGCCGTGCACATTATTTTTTGCAGATGATAGAGGTTATACCTAGCCATTCTAGCTCCTAAACAGTATCTGAGGCATAACAGGGGCTCAATAAGTATTCATTTCTCCTTTAGTTCTTTGCTGTAAAATCACCTTCTTAGGAAAGCTTCCCAAACCGCATAATTTAAAATTGCATCTCCAGCCCAACTCTTGGCAATTCTGTCTTCCTTATCAACTTTTTTCTCTCTAGCATTTACCACCTTCCAACCTAACTTGTGATTTACTTATTATGTTCATTCGTGCTGGTGTGAAAGCAGGGATTACATTTGTGCTGTTCAGTAATAGATTCCAAGTACAGTAAATATCTGTTGAATGAATGAATGAGTCCCCAGTCTCACTCCCCTGTCACTCAGGTGCAAGAGACCTTTTAAAGGTGCATTTATGAAACAAAAGTCTAAAGAAATTATTATGCTCGACTAGTATAATATGACTGAAGATTTAGTAAAGAATAACACCTCCATTATCAGTGTAGGTTGGCCAAGAAATACTGCCAACTGATTAAACTTCGAAGAAGATAAAATGTTTATGTATTCTTTGACAGTCAACTATATGGAGAGCTGCTAAGAGCTAGGGAGAAATAGATTTCAAACTATTTGTCGTAGTCAGCATTTCTGTAAATTCCGACCATAAAATCTTGTCTTAGAAAAATGATGTGTTGAAGGGAAGAAGAACATATAATGATGAGACGTATAATACATGATGTTCTTAACTATTATGGATGATGTAAAATGCTTAAGAGAAAAGGTAAGTAAAATTAAACCATTAACTATGTGGAATGCACTTGTTTTTAATCAACAAAAAAGAACTATATTCCAATTATATTGTATAGCACAGATACTTGTTATTTCACAAGCATATAATATTATGTAAATCTCAGGTAATAAAAACACAAAATTGAGTCACAGAATCTTCACTCTAACACAACAGAGGCACACGCCCAGAGACGGAATCCAAATATCTGCTCTCTGAAAAGTATTCACCAGTATTTACTGAGAGCCTGTTGGCAATGCCAAAGGCAGGATGGCCCTGCTGGAGGGGGCATTTGAACAGGCAGTGGGTAGATCTGACAGTTATGATCTCTGAGAACTACTGGCACTGAGAGGGAGGGGCATCAGGAGTGCTAAATACCCCTCGAGTCTGGGCACAGTCCCATACAACAAAAATTTTGCTGCTCAAAACGCCAAAAGCACCCCTTTCAGTAACCCTGTCCTAGAAACATATCAATAACCCAGCTCTTGATGATTTAAACATCTTTCTTGGCAAACTGAGGACTAAAAATGAAACAAGCCCAGCACAGGGCTCGACACACAGCAGAACGAGTCCTGTTGATTCATTTTCTGCTCTTTTACCATGATGTGCTGTGAAAAGGAACTCTAGTCTTTAATGACACAACCGATGCCTATCTTCACTTTATTTTAGCTTCAACGGGCTCCAAAAGGAATGGAAGGAACCCTAACAGAGGCAGGATGCCCAGCCTCGGAGCTGTGTATCATGGTTATTAACGTGCTGACGTTTCTAAGACCGGGAGGCACTGATGAAGAATCTTCATCAGACTTTGGAAGAACAAGTTTTGGCTATTTCCATATCTAGTTTCAGTTAAGGGCACATATGAGAAGATGACTGTGGCACTGAAAAGCTGTATGCAGCAAGAATACCAACAGCAGATTCTTAAAGCGGCTCCCTCTCCCCTTCCAGGTTCCCACAAGGGATCAACGGAGGAACAAAGCACAACCATTGATAAGCAGAAGCGCCCACTGCTACCAGCCTTTGAAAGTGGTGAACCACTTACTTTAATTACATAAGTTTCAAATCAGAGCTCTCAATACCTCTTCCGAAGCACATTAGCATTAATCATCTGCAGTGTTTAAAAACAAAACAAAAAAAACACACACATTTAATTTCTTTCTGGCATTTGGCTTCCACCATCAGGGACATCACCATCCTGTACTGCAGGGTGCAAAACGGGGCCCCAGATGAAGTTTCAGAGAGCCACCTCCTGAAAATATCAACTCTGAGGTTATAAAATCGACTACATGTAGGTCAGGTTGAACTTCACAGATAAGCAAACTTCACAGGGAGGTGAAAATTCCATGGCCCATTTCTCTAGCGCCAACAATGGCATGTGCATTACAAAATCAAATCGTAGGAGATAATGCTAATAAAATAAAATCAGTGGCTGCAGATTTTATTACTTTATTTAAATGAAGCGGAAACCAAGATGCAGAGACCCAAACCCAATGTCATCCAGCTCAACAGGCTTGGATCTGGCTAAAGAAAGAACTGAAGGGGGCAGCAAGAGACGGGGGCTTGACTGCTTCTGACTGCTGAGCTGCAAACCTTGCAGCAAGTTTGAGAAGCACCTGAAAAGGCCCAGTCTTGACAGGCCAGATATCAATGAACATTAGCTCAGTCACTCATATATCAATAATCAAAGGATGAGCACCAAGCACTTTCTGAACACAGATTCCTTGTCCAAGTAACCAGCGTTGATAAAGTAACCAGTGTTGCTTTATCTTGGTTGGCAGAGGCTCTTGAGCATACAGATTCTTCAGAACCAACAGTGACTCAATCTGTCTGGGAGAGAAGTAGACAAAACAATTCGATGCCAGCTTCGAGGTGGCCTTGATTTGGCATTTCTCCTCGGCCTGGTGGAATTCCAAAGCCCCTTTTAAGTCTCCCTTCTGAGTCAGGGATCGGTCCTTGGCTAAGTTGGGCACTTTTTCACTTGGCCAAAGTCCTCACCTAAGCTTGAAAGCCATGCTTCAAGGATCTTTACAACCAACACACGCGTGCACGTGCACATACATGCGCGCGCGCACGTACACACGCACACACACACACACACGCACACCCTTACTGTCTCCATTAACACAGACTTACTATCCCACTACCCTTGATAGTAATACTTTAATATCCCAGAAATGGTTTGCTAGCTCATTACAAAAACTCCCTGAAACATCCATGTAATGGAAACCATCAACACACAGTTTGCACTCTAAAATTCTTTGAATGCCCTATCTCATTGTCTCTACCAATCCTGTAAATTGACCTTTACCTAATTCCAATCAAGTCCCTGTACTGTAAACAAAACTTGAAATTCTCAAATTCTGACCTTGCCCGCCCCTCTCGCAGACGTTGCCAACGCCCCACGGAGGTGGTGGTCCCCTTACAAGGGTGAAACGCGACAGCTGACATTCCGATCTCCAAAGCCTCTCTCCCAGAGGTGGTGGTCCCCTTACAAGGGTGAAACGCGAAGTCCTTCCCAACAGACAGCTGACATTCCGATCTCCAAAGCCTCTCTCCCCATTTCTGTGTTGGGACACAGTTAGTCTCGGCCATACACCTAAACAATTTCTTCTCCTTGCTGACTTTCCTACCTGACATTCAGGCGGCTGCCTGTACTTCCCGGGTTCTATCTCTTTTTCCACCTTTTGGCATACTATCTACTTGGAATGATAACCTACCAAGGGTTTCCTTTAGACAGGATCCCTGGTCCCCTTGGGACACTGCTCTCTGTACTCCCAAATGCAATGCTGT